ATATATGTTAGAATGCCCATGTGGACTCAAATACGTGGGCATGACCTCCAGATGTCTCAGAATCAGATTAGCTGAACATTGTCGTAACATCTTCTAGGGGTATGAGAATCATACAGTCTCAAAACACTTTTGTATACACCACAACAACCCAAATTTTTTTTAAGTTCATGGGTATATATTTATACTTATATATTTTTCCTTGCCCATTGGTGCATCCTATTGTTTTGTATGTCTTTTATTCCTTTTGGGGGTTTAGGAGAGATTAACCCATTTAGGTGTGCTGCCTTACCTATAGAAACCTAGCGCTATTCCACTTCTCTCTTTCTTAACCTGTCTTTACCCTGTCTTGTTTCCTGTTATTCCTGATAACACATTTCTTGTCTCTTCTGTATTATTGGTGTAGGCCTGGCTAGGGTACTTATTTATCACACTTTCCCGTATCCCTGACTTGACTTGTCCTCTAAATTCTATGCTCATCTTTTTTCCTTGACATTGGCTTGTTCTTACCTATATTACCAACTGAAATACTTGACACCAGACCAACTACAGCTTAATATAGTTGTTCTAGAAAGTATAGTCAATCTCTGCAGGCTTTTTAATGAAAACACTGTTTTGGGGGCCTACACCACCCAGACCCTAACAAACCTGGAGACACTCCTTGATGGTGTCTATGCAAACACAGAGCCTGATTACCTTGCTCAAATTCAACCGGAGCCCTCTGCACAAATGCCTGCCATGGGACGTCGTTCCCAGATGTAACGTTCACTAGGGGACCCTAACTTGCAGACAGGAAAGAGTAGAGAAAATTGCAATACCGATCCTTGGAGTGGTCGGGTTATGCAAAAAGGATAGTCAAAACACTAGCCGAGGTCAACGAAAAAGAGAGACAGAATAACAAGACACAAAGCTAAATATCAGTAACCAGTAAACGCTTAGTTTTATGAATTGGCACTGTTTCCTGAAATGTCGTCAGTATGCACTGACGCAACGTAATTCCGGAAATGACATCAGCCGACCCCACGAACCCGGAAGAGATCGCAAATTAAAGCGGGAAGATACAAAATCCGGATATAAGAGGAGGACGCTGACGAAACAGAAGACATGCACTTGAAAAAGACCATAGAGTCGAAACGCGTTGTGCTTGATGACTTTCGTTTTTTATCTTGCTGACCTTTTTCTGCAATATATTTATACCCAATAAATAGTATTTTTCCTTTACTGAGAGTTTGGAAAATCACTTCTTGGGAAAAGCAGCTCCAGCAATCCAGAGGTTTCTTAATGATGAGCCTGAAAGTCTGAGCCTGCTATTTAGAGGCTCAGCACCATGAGAGTTGATCCAACTTATATTTAAACATTGCAATAGTTATCTACAAATTACACTGTAAATGTAAATAAATGTACTGCACTTTATGTTTTTCTACAGAAAAGTGAACACTGCCATTTACCAACGTTGAAAGTGGTAGTATTGTGTTTTCCCTGTGTGTTTGCTCTCACCTATCTATTTTATTGCTTTATTCTCTCTGCAGATGACTGCCCTAGAGGACCGGTACAGATGCAACAATGTCAAAATAAGATTGTCCCGGCCACTGTCTTGGCAGAAGAGCTGCCACATTTTGTGAGGAGGCAGCTGGCAACAGTATCGCCACCGGAAATGTCAAAGAAAATCACCCTAGACGGGGTGTACAGAATCCCTGGACCCACCAGACCATTACTGCAAACCGCTAGAGAAGCCATCCAACGATGCACACGATATTACGGCAGTCCTGAGGGGCAAGACTCCTTTATTATTTGAAGAATCACAATTAACCTTCTATCGAAATCTGGCTAGAGTGACCCATTTTCTTTATGATGGGTTCTGGGTTCATTCTTATATTCCGTCCCTGGATTTCCCAGTCTCTTGGATTCATTTAAATGTTTGTTTTATGTTGCCACACCTGTTTGTTTTCCATAATTTTTTTTGTTTAGTGTTCTTGCAGGCAGCTGCTCAAGTCTTCTGCCCTTATTTGCAGGTAAGTACTATTTGTGTTTTCTTTGGTTGGTTTAGCTTGCATTAGTAGGACCTGCGGGATATGGGGTACATTGGCGTTGTTGGCAGGCTTATGCAATGTATGATCATATAATGTGACTAAATCTCCATGATTTTCATATATAGTACTTAGTTATGTCTCCTCTTGTTTTACCTTGTATCTCTTGTCTTGTTTTATTTTGTCTTGTATTCCCAGTTCATGTGCAGTCCTGTCCTGCCCTGTTCTTGTTTTCCTCATGTCTTGTGTACATGTTCTGGGTTCTGCTTTCTGTCCTGCTCCGGTTCTGGGTTCTATTAGTTCTGTCTTGTTTTCATGTTTGGTGCCTATCTCTAGTCTTGCCTTGTTTCTGTACTGGATACATTCTTGCTGCAGAGCCTCCCTATTCAGCTCTGGGAGGTCTGCTTAATTCCTGCTCCTAGTTCCTGGGATCCGCATAAGCTGAATCAGGGTTCTGGTTTGTGGCTGCTTAAACGCTGATGCTCAACACCAGTGGGCGTGCGGTTACCCTGCACCAGACCCTGACCTATCCACTCTCACACTGAAGACTCACATTTATCATCAGACATACTGGGTCCCGGTCCTCACACCGCCGCCCGGACACTCACTCACCTCAATGGCTGACACTCCGAAACTCCTTTCATCCCTGGGACCACAGACTGGCCCAGAAACTACTGTCCATGGCAGTGTAGGGACACTTCTAATATCACACCCTTTGTCCCAGGAGCTAGAACTGAGAAACAACTGGGCACCTGAACGCAACCGGCTACAGAGACAACCTTACCTGGCCTACATAACATTAGCAGTAAACCTGCAGTTATAAGGACCTGTTTCTTCTTGTGTGGTTTCGCTTTAGTTTTGTTATATTTTTGTTATATTCTTGTTTGCCTTTGTTCACCCTTACTCTGAATAACTCCCTATGAGCTTTTCACTGACAGTTGACCGTCCCACCCATGGGTAACCCAGTCTACCGTATAGCTCACAATCTGTAAACCCTTATCCTTCACATGCCTAGCTCAGAGGCGAGACATCTGCCTTCTATTCCCCCCTCCCCCCATTGCAGCCCACTTGGTTAGGGGCATCCTTAAATGTAATGCACCCTTGTAACAACACCTCACAGAAATTCACTACTCTAACACCCTTATTAAGCATTCCATAAGCCTGAAACAACGTTATAGTATGCTTTGCATGATACAGAGCTGCAGAGAGTCCATGACAAAGGCTTTACTTATTGGTGTTAAAATAGGGATAATAGAGATATTTCTAGGCAGATCAAATCAACTGGCAAGGGAATAGTCTACATAATTCAAACCTCCAGTGTCATGGTGTAATACTCCAACACACAGGATTCAAGACAGAATGGCTGGACTTCACATTGGACAAGGAAAGTGTAGTCAGTAACAAGCCATGGTCACGGTAACAGAAAGACAGCAAAAATTTAAAATTAGCCATGGTCGGGTACATGGTAATCAGTCAGACAGGCAAACAACACAGAAAAGGATTAAAGATAAACAGAGTCTGAAACAAAGCCAAGGTCAATACCAGAATACTATACAATAGCTCAAGAAATGCATTAAAGGGTACTGGGACAGAAACCCCAATAGGGCACTGAGTACAGGGTTAGGGAGGCTTAAATACCCTAACAGTAACTTGTGATTGGTCCATGTCATGAATGTGTGTGCATGAGGGCGCTGGAATGACAGGGACCAATGGGAGCCAGAAATGACTCATTTCCCCTTTAAGAGCGTGCTAACACTGTAAGTAGCATTCTTTATTACACAAGGCGGCCGCACAACCATTCTTTACGGTCGGTGCACGCTGCCCACTCAGAATGCAAAGTGATTGGGCTGCACGTGGAGGACCCTGGCTGGCTTGCGGCACAGATAACTACCACTACACCTAATCAGTGAGCACTCTTTGGTCATACTCTTGATTAATGTGGCCAGGTTTTATATCCTTTTTAACTGGATAAAATATATTCCATCTATCTCTGGAGAATGCATTCTAAAAATAAAGGACATATGTCTTATGGAACATCTGATCCATATAGCCAATGATTCTTTGGACAGTGGTAATAATATTTGAAATAAAAGGATTCTTATTTCATTATCCCTTTAAAGGTACCCAAGAAAAGATGTATGCACTTATATACAATTTAAGTTTTATGAAATATTAATTTTGCATCCAAGTTAAAGTGACATTATAGGCACGAAGACCACTTAATCTCAATGTCCCTATAGTTTAAACCCTGCAATGCACTGCCATTCTGCAGGAATAGTAATGTTTATATTGCAGGGTTTTAATACCTCTAGTGCAGGCCCGGACTGGCCATCGGGCACACCGGGCAAATGCCCGGTGGGCCACGGTGGCCATGTGCCGAGGCTGGCAGGGGAGGTCCCAGGATCTCCCCTGCCGGTCTATGCAGGGCCGGCGCTATCCGAGCGCCGGCCCCGCTGTGTTCCATGAAGGGCCAGTGGGGAGATCAAAGATCTCCCTCACCGGCCCACATGCTCTCAAACGTGGCCACCGGCGGGGAGAGAGCCATCCTGGAGAGTGGACCCGGCGGAGCTCTAACTTACAGCTCCGCCGGGTTTCTCTCGCGAGATCCGGACCGTTGCTATGGCAACCGGCCGGGTCTCGCTAGAGTTCACTTACCACGAGGACCACCAGGGATGGCTGGCAGGAGCACGACCCGCTCCCCCACTTACAGGCTACAGGTAAGAATAGAGGGGGGGGGGATATAATGTATTTATTTTTTTAATAAAGCATTAATACTGCCATTTACCTGCCTCCCCCCAATACACAATCCTTGCAAACACACACATCACCCAGCACCCTAACACACACACAGCACCCTAACACTCACACAGCACCCTAACACCAGCACCCTAACATTGACACAGCACCCTAAAACACACACAGCACCCTAACATTGACACAGCACCCTAACACCAGCACAGCACCCTAACACTCACACAGCACCCTAACATTGACACAGCACCCTAACACACACACAGCACCGTAGCACTCACACAGCACCCTAACACACACAGCACCCTAACACCAGCACCCTAACATTGACACATCACCCTAGCACACACACACAGCACCCTAGCACTCACACAGCACCCTAACAGTCACACAGCACCCTAACACCAGCACCCTAACATTGACACATCACCCTAACACACACACAGCACCCTAACACACACACACAGCACCCTAACATTGGACACAACACCCTAACACACCTACCAGCACCCTAACACACACACACAGCACCCTAACACACACACAGCACCCTAACATTGACACAGCACCCCACCACACACACAGCACCCTAACACCAGCACCCTAACACACACACACAGCACCCCTAACACTCACACAGCACCCTAACACACACACAGCAATCTCTAACACCACACACAGCACCCTAACACTCACACAGCACCCTAACACACACACACAGCACCCTAACATTTACACAGCACCCTAACACCCACCAGCACCCTAACACACACACAGCACCCTAACACTCACACAGCACCCTAACACCAGCACCCTAACATTGACACAGCACCGTAGCACTCACACAGCACCCTAACACACACACAGCACCCTAACACCAGCACCCTAACATTGAAACAGCACCCTAACACACACACAGCACCCTAACACGCACACAGCACCCTAACACACACACAGCACCCTAACACGCACACAGCACCCTAACACACCTACAGCACCCTAACACACACACACAGCACCCTAACATTGACACAACACCCTAACACTCACCAGCACCCTAACACACACACAGCACCCTAACACTCAGCCAGCACCCTAACACTCCAGTAACTTTAACATTGACACAGTAATCAGAAAGTAATTCCTGCCACACCCTAACACACACACAGCAACTTCTAACACCAGCACCCCTAACATTGGACACAGCACCCTAACACACACACAGCACCCTAACACACACACAGCACCCTAACACACACACACAGCACCCTAACACTCACAAAATCTCTAACACACTCACACAGCACCCTAACACACACACACAGCACCCTAACACTCACACAGCAGCCTAACACTCACACACACAGCACCCTAACACCAGCACCCTAACATTGACACAGCACCCTAACACACACACAGCACCGTAGCACTCACACAGAACCCTAACACCAGCACCCCAACACACACACAGCACCCCAACACACACACAGCACCCTAACACCAGCACCCTAACATTGACACATCACCCTAACACACACACACAGCACCCTAACACACACACAGCACCGTAGCACTCACACAGCACCCTAATACACACACAGCACCCTAACATTGACACATCACCCTAACACACACACAGCACCGTAGCACTCACACAGCACCCTAACACCAGCACCCTAACATTGACACATCACCCTAACACACACATACAGCACCCTAACACTCACACAGCACCCTAACACCAGCACCCTAACATTGACACAGCACCCTAACACACACACAGCACCGTAACACTCACACAGCACCCTAACACTCACACAGCACCCCAACACCAGCACCCTAACATTGACACATCACCCTAACATTGACACAGCACCCTAACACATACAGCACCCTAACACATATAGCAACCAAACACATACAGCAACCTAGCACACACACACACCAACCTAGCACACACACACACATCACCCTAACACATACACAGCACCCCAACACATACACAGCACCCCAACACACACACATCACCCCAACACACACACAGCACGCCAACACACACACAGCACCCCAACACACACCACCCTCACTCACACATCACCCTCACTCACACAGCACCCACAAATACACAGACCCCTCGCACAGTGCCCTCACACACAGCGCCCTCACACACAGCGCCCTCACACACACATACTGCACCCTCACACACACATACTGCACCCCCACACACATACTGCACCCCCCACACACACAGAACCCTCCCACACACTATACTCCTCACACTATACTCCTCACAAATGCAATCTACACCCCTCACACACACAGCACCCCCCAAACACACTGCACCACTCACACACACACTCACTAGATCTCATATACGCACTCCTGAGTCCTTCAAACACACACTAGATCCCCTACACACAGACGCTGCACCACTTACACACACACTACATTTCTGACATACACACTCAGGATCCCCTATGAACACACTAGATACCATTTAAACAAACACATAGTGTCTCCATAAATGGGATACAGTGAGTATTCCAATTATGGAAACCCCTGAGACAAGTTTCAAGCAAACACAATGCAAGCATGTTATTAAATTTGCTTGCGCTGTGCAGATCAAATACAGGGCCCTTTTCTCATGCCCTGGAAGAGCATTGAACCAACATGCTCACTTTGAGATGGGGCGTGCTTGTCATTGGGGATGACAAAACACACCCTATCTGGCCCCGCCCCCTTTTCAGTGGGCCGCTGTAATAAAAAATGCCCGGGCCGAATTTTTTTCCCAGTCCGGCCCTGCTCTAGTGTCAATCAGGCAGTCACTATAGGTGGTTCTGCTGAAAGAGGTAAGTGAAACTGACATATTAATCAGATAGTCTTACTGAGAAAATCTGATTGGCGCAGTGTTTTACTGTGCATGCATTCTAGCCTGCCAATGCTTTATTATGGGAAAGTTTGATCGTCTGAAATCCTCAATCTTGATGACCTTAGCAATGGAGGCAGAATGGCAGCGAGGAGACTGGTACTGCGAGTAACAGCAATTGGATAAACCTGCAGTTTTACTTCTTACAGGTGGGGGACAGGTACCTAAACTATTAACAGTGTACTATACCATTAGGAATGCATATTTGTATTTCCAGCATTATAGTGTTCCTTTAAGGTCCTGAGTCATTATATTACTAGTGTTACTAGTTTGTTACCATTTTACTCTTTTTCTTCTTTTTTTTTCTTTTTTATCATCCCATTGTTTTCATACATTTCCATTCACCTCCTCTGTGTTCTTTTGTTTACCTTTCTCCTTGTATGTGCATGGAAAATTACACGTATGCTGGACAATATACTACTTTTGTTGTGTATTTTGACTTAGTAGATCCTTAATAAAAATTGAATTACAGCAAAGAACTTTCTGTGAACCCATATTAAATAAATGCTTTAGGAAAATATAAATAGATCACATTTACTGAGAAGCCTTTATCTGTATTGTTACCCATACCCTTGTAAATTGCAGCTGTTAGACAGAAACCTATTTCACTTCTATGATGTTCATAATGTACTGTACATTAGCATTTATCAGTAGCCTTTCAAAGAAAAATTCCAACCACAGCTGTCAAGCAACTATATCTATGGTTTACTACCAGTAGTTTTTATTTCTTTTTAACTATAGGAAAAATAAACTTCAGATAGGCAGACCATCTGGAAATATGACAGGTCTTGAAAAATCTTTAAATGTATAACATCGGAAACTCTGGTGTAACCTATGTTAGCTATTACTACGGTATTTCTTGTTTTGTTTTTTTCAGTTCTTTATTTTGACAAGAACAAATAAAGGCAGTATATTTTAACATGACAATATCAAAAGTTGCAGTATACACATAATCCCAAAGTAACAGTGATTCCTAATGGCAGAGATTATCCACAGCTAGAGTTGCAATTATTTATGTCATGTGTCTTTTTAAATACGCTGGTAGCTCATGTCAGTTTTAACTGATAATTTAACAACAAATACAACAAGAATTTGGAGGGCAGCCCGGAAGGGGGGAGACAGAGCATCTGGCACCCGGGGTGGACCCTGTGTTGCCCCCCCCCCCATCCTGAACACTACCGCAGCTGAGGTGCCACTCTCTCATCAGGTCGGATCCTCCCGCACCTGGAATCTGTGAAGGCGGACAGGCGATGGTGGTGTAAAATCGGTGTCATGTTGCATGCGTCGGCACGCCGCAACACTCCTCATCCTGCTCCTCCATAATGACGCGTCCCACATTATAAGAATGGATGGGGGGTGACTCATGACACTGGCAGTCATGGCATCCCTCTAGTGAGTGGAACCCGGGGCCACTGGGGGGAGGGGAGGTTGGGAAGGAGGGGGAATGCCCAGTGTGTGTGTGAGAGGGGTGCTGTGTGTGTGTGAGGGTGCTGTGAGTGTAAAGGGTTCTGTGTGTGTGTGAGGGTGCTGTGAGTGTGAGGGTGCTGTGTGTGTCTGTGAGGGGCTGTGAGGGTGCTGTGTGTAAATATATTTGGAGGGATTGTGTGTGGGGGAGACAGATTCATTTAAATATATTCAAGATTTTTTTTTCTAATAAAAAAAACGTTACATTCCCCCTCCCTTCTTACCTTGTGCCTGGGAGGGGGGGTGGAGGGGGGCGTGCTGCCATCCCTGATGGTCCTAGTGGTGAGTGAACTCTTGCCTGCAGCTCAATCTAAAGTTCATATTAGCGAAATCTGAACTTTGCCATGGTAACTGCGGCAACGCTCCGATCTCGCGAGAGGAACCTGCTAGAGTTTCCCCCGGGCCCTTTTCTCCCTCCCCCGCCGGAAGCCGAATGTAACTGCTTGTGGGCCAGTAAGGGAGATCTTTGATCTCCCCACTGACCCATGAAGGCACACATCAGGGCCGGCGCTCGGATAGTGCCGGCTCTGCATGGGCCAAAAGGGGAGATCCTGTGATCTCCCCTGTTGACTTCGGCCCATGGCAATCACGGCCCACTTGGTATTTGCCTGGTATGCCCGGTGGCCAGTACGGGCCTGATGTGAATCATGGGAATGTTACTATCTACATTACATGGTGCCTACACTTTTTCAAAATTCTGTACCTTGGCTTTTACCTCACCAATCAATGAAACCGAGGTTCCAAAGCAAGCTGCAGTGAGTGCTCTAGAGTTACTTAGTTAAAAATCTTCTGGGATCTGAGATCATCAAGGTAAAAGGGGTTAAAAATAGGCTGCACACTTCCTCTATTACCTTCACTTTCCCAATGGATTCCAGTAGGCCCCAGATTCGCAGAGACCTATTACCAGTGTCTTCCACCACAATCTCCATTGCTGTCATCTGCTGCTGCAGATCGTTAGACATATCAGCCATGCGGTTATGGGTCACAACTACATCCTTCACTCTGATTTCCAGCTACGCCATTGTGGCTCCAAGGGCCTGTATCTTGACCGTCACTGTAGCCGGTCTCTTCTCAATCTTTTGGGCTAGGTAAACCCTGTCTGCCATTATCTGTTGTTGGACATGGACAAGGGAATGTAGGGATCAGATGCTACGTCTTTTTAGAACATAGATGTTCATTCAGCTCAGCAGTAAAGCCACACAGCCTTCTATTAAACATTTTTATTTTGGTTATTTATAAGCAATTTATATAAAGCTAATATATTTATATTTAAAGCTACAAGCAAAGAGAACACTGCAACTCTGCAATGTTTACACATTCTCTTGACTAGATTAGATGTTTTTACAGTCTTCAATGTAAAGTTAAATATGTCACACAACCTACATAATGCATTTTTTCATAAGTTCTCTTTTCTGAAGTGTTTGAGTGGTGACTACAGATTCTGTGAAATTCTCTGATTAGCACTATCCAGTAATTATTGTGCATATACAGCCAAAGGTCAGTTTTTCAAGAGCACTTTGCCATATGACCTTATTTTTTTTTTTTTACTAAATACTCAAAATGGTTATTTTTGTATTTATTAATCCTTAGATGTGTTCAGTGTAAAATTACTAGGTACCACTACATCTCAGGAGCTATAAAAACTATTCTAGTTTATTTACTACATTCTAATTAACCCCTTAAGGACTGGACTGTTTTTGCGATGTTGTACATTTGCGACCAGGAATATTTTTACACTTTTGTGGTGTTTGTGTTTGGCTGTAATTTTCCGCTTTCTCATTTACTGTTCCCATACAAATTATATATTGTTTTTTTTCAGGACAAAATGGGCTTTCTTTACATACCATTATTTATATAATCTCATGTATTTTAATTTAAAAAAAATAAAAAAATATGATGAAAAATTGAAAAAAAATACATGTTTTTGACTTTTACTTGAAAAATCTTTTACTCATCTACAAAAGCGAATGAAAAAAACTGCTAAATAGATTCAAAATTTTGTCCTGAGTTTAAAAATACCTAGTGTTTACGTGCTTTTTTGCTTTTTTTTGCATGTTATAGGGCTATAGGTACAAGTAGGATATTGCGGTTTCAAAACATACATTTTAAAATTTATCAATAGTGACATTGTAACACTATTATCTGTCATAAATCTCTGAATAACACCCCACATGTACATATATTTTTTTTTAAAGTAGACAACCCAGGGTATTCAATATGGGGTATGTCCAGTCTTTTTTAGTAGCCACTTAGTCGAAAACACTGGCCAAAGTAAGCATTCATATTTGTTTGTGTGTGAAAAAGTAAAAAAACTAAATTGAACGCTAATTTTGGCCAGTGTTTGTGACCAAGTGGTTACTAAAAAAGACTGGACATACCCCATTTGCAATACCTTGGGTTGTCTTCTTTTGCAAATGGTATGCCATCATGGGGGTAATTCTCATTCCTGGGCTACCATACGCTCTCAAAGGCAACGTAACCAACCTGGCCATTTTCAATGTAAAATATTTGACCCATATATTTGACCTTGTAACTTTCAAAAATGCTATAAAACCTGTACATGGGGGGTACTGTTTTACTCGGGAGACATCGCTGAACACAAATATTAGTGTTTAAAAACTGGAAAACGTATCACAACAATTATATCAT